TGTCAATCTTTGTATCAACCACTATTCATAGGCTTTCAAGGAATTGTAGATTGTAACTAAATAAATGACTGAAATTATCTTCATCAGGAATTACTATTTGAGGTTAAGTCTTTTGGTAGCTATGCACATCCAATGGTTACATTGTTTATAACACATTTTATTTTTCTCTTTAATCATTAGATTAAAAGATTATTCACATGATTTAGTATAATTAATATCTAACTTATTTCTACAAAAGACCCATTGTATTAATAAAATAGTTTTTACACTGGTGTAAGTATAGTAACTCTTACACTAAATCTTAAATATTGATTTTTGTAAATCAGATGGTTTTAATTTATTATATTAATAATTAATTAATAAAAATAGCTCAATCAATTTTGATCGTTTGATAGATGAAAATCAACAGTTAATTTCAAGAGGGAGAATAGTTTCTCCCATCGCTGGAGAAGACTATTTAATGAGACATCATTTTACATATTTTGTTTTCTTATTTTTTATTTTTTTAAATATGGTGGAGCGCATCGAAAAATTGTATCAGGTGCAAAAAATTTCTTCTTCTTTCTAAAGGAGAAAAACAAAGCACATTTCAAGATTGCAATTCTGGTGGTTTGATATCAATGTTGCAGAATTGGAACTATCAAACTTGCTTGGAGAAGTGGCGGGCTCCACAGACAGTTGGTTTGACAGGTGACTTTGAATAGTGAACTTTGGCTTTGTTGAATTGATTTGCTGGGTCCCGCCTGTAATTTCTTTTGAGATTTGCTTTGGATTCATTTACCTGGGTCTGCGTTTTCATAAGCAAGTTTCTTTGGCTTTGTTTTTCTTTACGTGGGGTCCAGGCTTTCATCAAGGGGTGATTCTGGCAAATTTCTTCATTTCTTGTATTTTGAAATTTTTGAGTCTTTATAGTAGTTAAAATTGAAATTTTATTTAAAATTGAAAAGAGGATAAAAAATCATAAAATGCAAAATCTTAACGTAAAAAAGAATCGTAAAAGCGTTTGAAATTTTGATGAAATTATTTTAATTAAAAAAATTATAAAATCATAAAAACACAAATTTAAATCAAAATTTTAGCTGCAGTGATCTTTACTATGCAATGGGCCTCACTAGAGATTATTGGTTCAACTTTGAAATATCTACTTGCAGAGCAGAGTATAAGAGTTACTATTCTTAAACAGGTGTAGATTGATATTCTCTCATGTTTAATTATGATACTATATATATTTTATGTATTAATAAAATATGATCTTATGATAATTTATGTCAGTGTAAATAAGAGTGAAATTCAAGTTTTTCATATCATATCATAAATAATGATTAAATGATCACGTGATTTCAATACTAAACGAAATATAAGTTAAATTAAATACTTAAAGATGCAAAATGGTCCTTCGAAATAACAGGAAAAATTAATTTATTCAATAATTAATTATAATATCAATTTATTTTGAATGAGAATGAAAATGTATATTGAATAATGTTACTTAACATGTATTTACTAAATGATTGGTTAAAAGATGATTTAAGTATAAAATTTATTTTTGATTTTATAAAGAATGATATTATCATATAAAATTATTAAATGACGTATACTAAAAAACATAATTTATAATTAATATGAATATTAATAGAAAATAATGTAGAAAATATACAAAAATAGGTCTGACTTTGAATTACTTAAGGAGATTAAGAAAATAAAAATATAATTATAAAAGAATGTAAACATGAAATAATATGAGTACCACCAATCCTAATATTTTATGGAAAAAGAAAAAAAGATTTGCAGAGCCCACATACATTTATAAATTGCACACTTTTTTTAAAAAAAATGGGCTTTACTTCTCTCATGTAGTATGAGAGAAGTTATCTCATGTTTTGAGATAAGTAAAGTGGAATCCACCAATTTTAAAAAAGAAAAAGAAAAAGAAAGGCACATCTTTTTATGTGAGTGTAACATGAGAGATAAATCTCATGTTAGATAAGACTATAATTTCCCTATCGAAATACATCTAACAAGACTTCAGGAGTAAAAGTTTGTTGATTTTGGCTTATGTGTGAGTAACTTTTTTTGCATAATTTTGGAATTAGCCCGTGCTGTATACGCAACGCTCAAATCTTGATTTCCGTTATGAGTGGATGACTTCAGGGACCGTTTGGTCGAGGAGAAATTTTTTGAATACTAAGAAAATGTAATTGATAGGGAAATGGTTAGAAAGTGAGATAAAGTGAGATAGATAGAAAAATGTAAAAAAAAGTTGTTTAGTGGAAAAAAAAATTATTGGAAAAATTAGGTAACTTTTAGAAAACGTATGTTTGGTTGAGGGTAAGATATAGATGGAAAAACAATCTTAAATTACAAAAATAACCCTGATTTTTAATCTTTTTGACGGTGGCATGTTCAAGTCTTTTTGACGCTTACAAAAATTACAAAAACAATCTTCCATGTTTCCGTGTGAAGCTGGTCAAGTCTTGCTGTTTGACCACTTCCATGTTTCCGTGTGAAGCTGTTCAAGTCTTGCTCTTTGACCACTGACAAGATATGGCAAGATATTTTCCTTTCAGGGGGTACCCAAGTCTTTTGGACAAAAGCCAAAGTCAGCAGATTGATAGGTTTTCAGAAATACCACATGATCAAAGGATAAATTTTGCCAGCTATATCCATCATAAAAGCTAGGCAACTTGGTTTGCTAGAGTAGTTATTTAGGTGGGTAAGTGAAGAACATGGCTCAACTAAACATGGTCTTGGGATATTCTCACTTCCTACTTCCCTATCTATCTCAACATAATCCAGCAACCAAACATCCCCGATTATCTTTAGGAGGTGTTTGGTTTGGGATTTCTTTTCAAAACCCCAGGCATTACATATTGATATTTTATGAATACAATGTTTGGTTCAACGTTTTCTAAAAATTTTCCAGCCAACTCATTTGGCTATGCTTCTACAATTCTTTGTAAAAATGTAACAATAAACACAGACCAACAATGCCACTTTGAAAGTGATATTGTATGATAACTAGGCAAATGGAATATATAGAATAAAGGATTTGACATAACTACCTTTCTATTACGGGTTACTTTTGTAATGATATTAAATTTATTTGTATTGATATTAAAAAAATTAATAAGGGGTTACTTTTGTAATTTTATACCATTTACCCATCAATATTCTATCCTCAACCAAACATAGACTTCAAAAACTTTAATCAATTTGTCTGAAAATATTTTACCTAACCAAACAATTTTTTTAACTTTTATATCTAACTCACTTTCCCTGCATATCCCTGGTAATTACATTTTTCTGGTAAAAAAAAAGCTCACCTGTACCAAACGCTCCCTTGATATCTATCTTGACTCTATTTGATGGACAAAGTAGTATATTTATTATTTTATATCCCCACACTTTGTTTTTATGTCGGGGACATTGACCAAACTAACACCCTTTTAATAAAAATTTATCGGATTGCCATGCTAAGAAGATTTTTTATCAAAATGTCACGTCACAATCTTGCTGATCTGACAAGCGGGAATGAACTGGACACGTGGCAGCATCTGAATGGTCAACAATTCTAGCTAAGCAACCCAGCGCGAATGACAGAATGGTAACACGTGGTAAAAGTACAGGCATTCTCTGCAAAGGTACAGGATACCTATACTTTTGCCACGTGTCAGCATTTTGTCATTCGCGCTGGGCTGCTCAGCTAGAAGATTGACCATTCAGACGTTGTCACGTGTCAAGTTCATTTTCACTTGTCAGATCAGCGAGATTGTGATGTGGCATTTTGACCAAAAAAAAAATAAATTCTGCCATCACAATCCAATAAATTTTTGCCTAAAAGATGACAATATGATGATTGTCCCTTCATGTCGTGTATCTATATATTATTTGTGTGAAGTACCCATGCCGTGATTAAACTGTCACTGGATGAGACGCTAGCTGCAAGAAAATATGAACACGTCCAGACCAAGTCTTACTTCAAAAATCCCACCTAAAAAGACTAGCATGAGTCACAGACAGTAATAATTATTATTATTATCATTAAAAAACAAAAAACAAAAGAATACTCCATGATAAATATTCTGTCATAAAAATTCTTATATTTTTTTAAAACGCAACGTAAATGTCTGTAAATACGTACAGCTATCAAGACTTCAGCTTCTTGTGGGAGTGACTTCAGGCTCTAAGACATGCCCTCATTTTAAAAGAATACATAAATACCGTAAAATATTTTTTTTTATAAAATTGAATAGAATATAATATTATGTTAATTTATGTTGTTCTAAGAAAAACACGAAACTCTAAGTTGCGTTTTTTTCAAATCACATGATATATATATAATGATTAAAAAGTCACCTCGTTGCAATACTAAAAAAATATATGAGTAATTAAATACCTATGGTGCAAATATTTAATATCAGATTATTTTAATGAAAATGAAAGTATTTGGAGCGTATATTTCATTGAATAATGTTGCTTAATTTTGTTTATTAAATTACGTGCTAAAAGATACAGTATTTAAAATAATTTCTTTACTTAATTTATTTTTAAAAGATGATCTGAGAATAAAATTATTTTGTGATTTTGTGATGGATGATATTATCATATAAGAGTATTTTTTTTAAATATTTTCGTGTCTTATTCTAAAAACAGTAAAATTAAAACTAGTATAAATTATGAATAAACAATAAAAAAAAACGTATAAAATATGTTTGTATTTGGAAAGGAAAAAAAAATAGAGAATCCCACCACGTACATAAATTGCACGGTTGGTGGTGGTTGTGCCAATAATGAAGAAAGAGTAAAAAGAAAGAACAAAGAAATAAAAGAAAAACAGAGAAGCAGTGATGGAAGCCTTGAGGACTCGTTTCTTGACTTTGGTTCGTGTGGGACTCACTTTTTTGCATATAAGTATCTGCAACATCCCATGAATTGCGTATCACTCTCTCTGATTGCTTTAGACAAACAGTGATTGAATATTTCACCCTATACCCGCCATTATGTTCATTTTTCCAACGCTTCAGTCCATGATGCTCATGCCATTTTGGAGGCTTCTTGTAGTGTGCTTTTGTGCATTGTTAATGGCCTTTTCTTCTGATGTTGCTTCTGCTTCGGTCACATTACAAAGCATCGAAGCAAATGCTTTGTTGAAATGGAAAGCCAACCTTCACAACCAAAGCCAGGCTTTGCTATCTTCATGGACTGGCAATACTCCTTGCAATAATTGGCTTGGAATTGAGTGTGACGTGTCCATGTCCGTCTCCAACGTTAATCTTACAAATATTGGATTAAGAGGTATGCTTCAAAATCTCAACTTCTCTTTACTTGCAAACATCCTCACTATAGATATGAGTCTCAACTCCTTGAATGGAAGTATTCCTCCCCAAATTGTTGTGTTGTCCAAACTCTCCTATCTTGATCTCAGTCACAATCGTCTCACAGGGTCAATCCCACCTTTGATTGGTAACTTGGTTGATTTGGAGTTTGTTTACCTTCAAAACAATAAACTCTTTGGTCCAATTCCTTCCACTATTGGAAATTTGACAAAGGTCATTAATATATCTTTATACACAAATGAACTTACTGGGCCGATACCACCCTCAATTGGTAATTTAGCTAATTTGAAGATAGTTGACTTTTCTGAAAATAAACTCTCAGGACCAATACCTTCCACTATTGGAAATTTGACAAAGGTCACTGTGTTACATCTATTCTCAAATGAACTTACTAGGCCGATACCACCCTCAATTGGTAACTTGGCTAACTTGGAATCAGTTGAGCTTTCTGAAAATAAACTCTCTGAATCAATTCCTTCCACTATTGGAAATTTGGCAAAGGTCAATGATTTATATTTATCCACAAATGAACTCATTGGGCCGATACCACCCTCAATTGGTAACTTAGCCAACTTAGAATTAGTTGACTTTTCTGAAAACAAACTTTCTGGACCAATTCCTTCCACTATTGGAAATTTGACAAAGGTCAGTTTATTATCTTTATCCACAAATGAACTCATTGGGCCGATACCACCCTCAATTGGTAACTTGGCTAACTTGGAATCAGTTTACCTTTCTGAAAACAAACTTTCTGGACCAATTCCTTCCACTATTGGAAATTTGACAAAGGTCAGTTTATTATCTTTGTCCATAAATGAATTCATTGGGCCGATACCACCCTCAATTGGTAACTTGGCTAACTTGGAATCAGTTTACCTTTCTGAAAACAAATTTTTTGGACCAATTCCTTCCACTATTGGAAATTTGACAAAGGTTAGTTTATTATATTTATACACAAATGAACTTACTGGACCAATGCCACCCTCAATTGGTAATTTGGCTAATTTGGAGAGAGTTGACTTTTCTAAAAATAAACTCTCAGGACCAATACCTCCCACTATTGGAAATTTGGCAAAGGTCATTTTGTTACATTTATTCTCAAATGAACTTACTGGGCCGATACCACCCTCAATTGGTAACTTGGCTAACTTGGAATCAGTTGGGCTTTCTGAAAATAAACTCTCTGGATCAATTCCTTCCACTTTTGGAAATTTGACAAAGGTCATTCGTTTATCTTTAAGCGAAAATGAACTCAGCGGGAACATTCCAATAGAAATGAACAGGCTTACAAATTTTGAAGATTTGCAGTTATTTAATAATCATTTCATTGGCCATTTGCCTCAAAACATTTGTATTAGTGGAAAGTTGTCAAACTTTACTGCTTTCAATAACCATTTTATTGGCCTCGTTCCAAAGAGTTTGAAGAATTGCTCCAGCCTAATAAGAGTTCGACTTCAACAAAACCAACTTACTGGAAATATAACAGATGAATTTGGTGTATATCCAAATTTGGACTACATGGAATTGAGTGAAAATAACTTTTATGGTCACCTTTCACCAAATTGGGGAAAGTGCTATGGTCTCACAAGCCTCAGGATCTCCAACAATAAATTATCAGGTGTCATACCAAAAGAACTAGGTGAGGCAATCAACTTACATGTACTTGACTTATCTTCAAACCATCTCACAGGAAAAATTCCAAATGAGTTAGGTAAATTGACTTCATTGACCAAACTCTTGATAAGCAACAATCATCTTTCAGAAAATGTTCCCGTGCAAATAACATTATTGCCCAAACTTGAGACCTTGGATCTTGGAGGGAATAATTTCAGTGGCCTCATCACAGAACAACTTGGGAGGCTGCCTATGTTGTTGAACTTAAATTTAAGCCAAAATAATTTTAAAGGAAATATTCCCGTTGAGTTTGGCATATTCAAAGTTCTTCGCAGTCTCGATCTTAGTGGGAATTTTTTGGGCGGAACAATACCACCAATGCTTGGACAGCTGAATACTTAGAAATGTTGAATCTCTCACATAATAGTCTTTCAGGTAGCATTCCCTCTAGCTTTGATGGTATGTTAAGCTTGACATATGTTGATATATCATACAACCAATTAGAGGGTCCACTTCCAAACATTACAGCCTTTCAGCATGCTACAATTGAAGCTTTGAGAAATAATAAATGCTTGTGTGGTAATGTCTCTGGCTTGGAGCCTTGCCCTTCATCAAATTGCAGATCTCATCATCATAAGACTAACAAAGTCATATTGGTGGTTCTACCCTTTACTTTGGGCATTCTACTGGTACTCTTTGTTATCAGAGTCTCGTATCATCTCTGTCGATCTTCACACACAAAAGAAAACCAGGCTGCAGAATCTCAAGCTCAAAATTATTTTGCAATATGGAGTTTTGATGGAAAAATGGTGTATGAGAACATTATTGAAGCCACAGAAGAGTTTGACAACAAACATCTCATTGGGGTTGGAGGGCATGGATGTGTTTACAAAGTAGAATTGCCTACGAGTCAAGTTGTTGCTGTGAAGAAACTTCATTCAGTACCAAATGAAGAAATCTCCAGTCTAAAAGCTTTCACAAGTGAGATCCAAGCTTTGACAGAAATTCGACATCATAACATTGTGAAGTTATATGGGTTTTGTTCTCATTCGCGATACTCATTTCTGGTTTATGAGTTCTTGGAGAAAGGTAGTGTGGAGATGATTTTGAAAAATGATGAACAAGCAACTAAGTTTGATTGGAATAGGAGAGTGAATGTTGTTAAAGGCATAGCTAATGCTTTATCCTATATGCACTGTGATTGCCGGCCTCCAATTGTTCATCGAGATATATCAAGCAAGAATATTCTTTTGGATTTGGAATATGTGGCTCATGTCTCTGACTTCGGAACAGCTAAGCTCCTCAATCCTAATTCATCCAACTAGACTTCATTTGCAGGCACCTTTGGATATGTTGCTCCAGGTTCATTCCCTTTCTTTAAACTTATTAAGGATATAATGATTTTGTAGTTTGTCTTTGCTAGTCATTTGTCAACATAACTAGTTAATTATTATCTAAACATTTCATGTTTACTTTTTGGTTCATATTTTGTACTTGATATCTTTTTAATTCGGTACAGAACTTGCGTACACAATGAAAGTAAATGAGAAATGTGATGTGCATAGTTTTGGAGTATTAGCATTGGAAATACTCTTTGGAAAGCACCCTAGTGATGTCATGTCTTCTTCATGGATTGTTGTGGCCTCAACACTAGATAATATGTCATTGATGGATAAGTTGGACCAACGTCTCCCTCATCCTGTATATCCTATTGTGAAGGATGTATTATCAATTGCAAGGATAGCAATTGGTTGCTTGAATGAAAGCCCACGCTCTCGCCCTACCATGGAGCAGGTTGTTAAGGAGCTTGTATTGTCGAAGTAATCTTCACATTAAATATGAGGAATCATAACCATACAAAAGTAAAAATAAATATAAAAGCCACCGTTAGATATGAATAATAATGAGTCAAGAATATGTCAAAAAAATCTCAGTACGATCAGATGGTAGATGAAGGAGATATCAAAGAATAATCAAAGATTGCTCTTTCTTATATTAAATTAGTGTATTTTCTAAAATGGTTATCTCCCTCTTTTCTTTACTCGTGACTAATTTCCATACTCTCTTATCATCAAAATGCTATTTACACACATTCAAAGTTCCTCAAGACTAATTTTTTTACAAGGGGCTAAAGTGGGGACCATAGTCCTAGAATTGGTCAAATTTAGGGTTAAGGGTTTAGGATTTATGCTATTAACGCACGTTCAAAAGGCTGCTGAACATCTTGAATTGGGAACCCTAGCTTTCTTTATTGGGCTGGACTTGACTTTTAACTAAGTGGTTAAAGCCCAACTACAAAGACCAATGCCCTTTTTGGTGGCATCGGAAGCATTTGTCACTTTTCATTTAATTTGTACAGTGATGACGACGAGGGTGGTTGGAACAGGAATCTTTCAGACATTTTTCTCTGCTTCTCATTATTGAACAATTTTTACACACACCTTAAATATCAACAAAGTCTTATCTTTCCTATGACTAGCTGACATAGGCACTACTGTCACTACACGCACTCAATGTCTGCCATAAAGGATGCGGCGACATATTTAATGATTTTTTCACATACGCATGATGCGGCAACCAATTTATGCCCTTGTCCCTTTTAAATTTGATTTATATATTATTTTTGAATTTTGTGAGGGAATATATTCCCTCGCAATTTGCGAGGAAATTTGAGAGGGAATATATTTCCTCGCAATTTGCGAGAGAATCTGTGAGGGAAATTGTGAAATTTCAGTTGCAATTTTCAGATCCTAAATTTTGCGAGGGAACTTCCATCGCCAATTTTTTCCCTCGTTGTTCCGTCACAGACTTATGATTCTTGCGAGGGATTCAATTTCCCTTGCAAATTGCAACCGAACTGCAAGGGATTTTGCGACGGCAATGTAGTAACGAAAATCTTGCCTATTTTCCCTCGCAATTGTTTTTCCCCTGCAAATTCCGTCACAGTTTGCAAGGAAATATTTCCCTCACAAATTTCCCTTGCTATTCGCGATTTTTCCAGTAGTATGACTTTAGCAAGTTAGCTGTGACATCTTGACTCTATTTGGTGAACCATATTTTATATCCACACACTTATTTCTTGGTAGATTATATTTTCACAATTAGCTTTCATATATCTATCATTTTTTTTCATCCTCATCAATACCAAGGGTTTTATTTTTCTCATGTTGCATGAGACATTCATGCAACACACAAAAAAGTAGATGAGACCCACTAAAAGAGAGAGAAAAAGAAAAAAAATGGGTCCCATTCACTTTTTTGTGTGTTGCATGAGACAATTTGTCTCATGCAACATGAGAAAAATAAAACCCTAATACCAATGCCTAGAGTAAACTGCTATACGACATCAAAACGCCTACACTACAAAGACTTGGAAGTGAGTCAATGTAAATATTAAGTGAAAAATATTTGTCCTTTAAATTACACAACTTGTGTCATTTTACTCTTATAATTAAAGAGGTGAGATCCATATCTTTTTTTTTGTCCTCTCTCTCCTATGACATATCTCTTTCTCTCACTTAAAATGACACAATTTTACATCCTTTAAGATGACATACACTTTTCCCTAATAATAATAATAATATAACATTAGCAACAACGGTTCATTAATAATATATATAGGGTTTAGCGGATGACTGCACCTAAGGACTGGTGCAGTCATATAAAATTACGTTGTTTTATAGTGTGAAAGCATTAAAACGTTTGGAATTTTGATGAAATCGTTTTGATTAAAAAAAATCATAAAATCATTAAAACGCAGATTTAAATCAAAATCTTAACTATCATGGTCCTTACTATGCAATGGGCCCCATGAGAGATGGTTGGTTTAACTTTGAAATATCTACTTGCAGAATAGAGTATAACAATTACTATTCTTAAACATGTGTAAATTGAAATTGTCTCATGTTTAATTATGATATTATATTTTACGTATTAAAAAAATATGATCTTATGATAATTTATGTGAGTGTAAATAAGAGTGAAATTCAAGTTTTTCATATCATAGTATAAATAATGATTAAAGGATCACATGATTTCAATACTAAGCGAAATATAACTTAAATTAAATACTTAAAGATGCAAAATGTTCCTTCGAAATAAAAGGAAAAATTAATTTACTCAATAATTAATTATAATAAAAATTTATTTTATGAGAATGAAAATATTTGAAATGTATATTGAACTAATAATGTTACTTAACATGTATTTACTAAAAGATGATTTAAGTATAAAATTTATTTTTAATTTTATAAAGAATGATATTATCATTTAAAATTATTAAATGACGTATACTAAAAAATATAATTTATAATTTATAATTAATATGAATATTAATAGAAAATAATGTAGAAAATATACAAAAATAGGTTTGACTTTGAATTACTTAAGGAGATTAAGAAAAATAAAAAATATAACTATAAGAGAATGTAAACATGAAATAATATGAGTACCACCAATCCTAATATTTTATGGAAAAAGAAAAAGAAAAAGATTTGCAGAGCTGTTAGGATAAGATCATTCTTCAACAAGAGCCCACATACATATATATAAATTGCACCCTTGTTTTGAACCTTTGCATACGCAGCGTAACATATATCGAAATACATCTAACAACACCTGAGGAGGAGTAAGTTTGTTGACTTTGGTTTATGTGTGAGTGACTTTTTTTGCATAAGTTTGGAATTAGCCCGTCGTGTTGGGTACGCAACGCTCAAATCTTGATTTTCGTTATGAGTGGATGACTTTAGCTGATTAGCTTTGCTATCTATCTTGACTCTATTTGATGGACAAAGTAGTATATATATTTTATGTCGTGTATCTATATATTATTTGTGTGAAGTACCCATGCCGTGATTAAACTGTCACTGGATGAGACGCTAGCTGCAACAAAATATGAACACGTCCAGACCAAGTCTTACTTCAAAAATCCCACCTAAAAAGACTTGCCCCATGGTGCAAATATTTAATATCAGATTATTTTAATGAAAATGAAAGTATTTGGAGCGTATATTTCATTGAATAATGTTGCTTAATTTTTTTTTATTAAATTGTGTGCTAAAAGATACAGTATTTAAAATAATTTCTTTACTTGGTTTATTTTTAAAAGATGATCTGAGAATAAAATTATTTTCTGATTTTGTGATGGATGATATTATCATATAAGAGTATTTTTTAAAATATTTTCGTGTCTTATTCGAAAAACAGTAAAATTAAAACTAGTATAAATTATGAATAAACAATAAAAAAAAAAAACGTATAAAATATGTTTGTATTTGGAAAGAAAGAACAAAAATAGAGAATCCCACCACGTACATAAATTTTACGGTTGGTGGTTGTACCAATAATGAAGAATGAGTAAAAAGAAAGAACAAAGAAATAAAAGAACAACAGAGAAGCAGTGATGGAAGCCTTGACTTGAGGACTCGTTTCTTGACTTTGGTTCGTGTGGGACTCACTTTTTTGCATATAAGTATCTGCAACATCCCATGAATTGCGTATCACTCTCTGATTGCTTTAGACAAATAGTGATTGAATATTTCACCCTATACCTGCCATTATGTTTATTTTTCCAACGCTTCAGTCCATGATGCTCATACCATTTTGGAGGCTTCTTGTAATGTGCTTTTGTGCATTGTTAATGGCCTTTTCTTCTGATGTTGCTTCTGCTTCGGTCACATTACAAAGCATCGAAGCAAATGCTTTGTTGAAATGGAAAGCCAACCTTCACAACCAAAGCCAGGCTCTACTATCTTCATGGACCAGCAATAGTCCTTGTAATAATTGGCTTGGAATTGAGTGTGACGTGTCCATGTCTGTGTCCAACATTAATCTTACAAATATTGGATTAAGAGGTACGCTTCAAAGTCTCAATTTCTCTTTACTTCCAAACATCCTCACTATAGATATGAGTCTCAACTCCTTGAATGGAAGTATTCCTCCCCAGATTGTTGTGTTGTCCAAACTCTCCTATCTTGATCTCAGTGACAATCATCTCACAGGGCCAATCCCAGCTTCGATTGGTAACTTGGTTGATTTGGAGTTTGTTTACCTTGAACACAATAAACTCTTTGGCCCAATACCTCCCACTATTGGAAATTTGACAAAGGTCAATTTATTATTTTTGAACAAAAATGAACTCACTGGGTCAATACCACCCTCAATTGGTAATTTGGGTAATTTGGAGACAGTTCAATTTTCTAAAAATAAACTCTCAGGACCAATACCTCCCACTATTGGAAATTTGTCAAAGGTCAAATCATTATATTTGCACTCAAATGAACTCAGCGGGAACATTCCAATAGAAATGAACAGGCTTACAAATTTGGAAATGTTGCAGTTATTTAATAATCATTTCATTGGCCATTTGCCTCAGAACATTTGCATTAGTGGAAAGTTGTCAAAGTTTAGTGCTTCTAATAACAATTTTGCTGGCCCCGTTCCAAAGAGTTTGAAGAATTGCTCCAGCCTAATAAGAGTTCGGCTTCAACAAAACCAACTGACTGGAAATATAACAGATGAATTTGGTGTATATCCAAATTTGGACTACATGGAATTGAGTGAAAATAACTTTTATGGTCACCTTTCACCAAACTGGGGAAAGTGCTATAGTCTCACAAGCCTTAAGATCTCCAACAATAAATTATCAGGTGTCATACCACAAGAACTAGGCGAGGCAATCAACTTACATGTACTTGACTTATCTTCAAACCATCTCATAGGAAAACTTCCAAATGAGTTAGGTAAATTGACTTCATTGATCAAACTCTTGATAAGCAACAATCATCTTTCAGAAAATGTTCCCGTGCAAATAACATCATTGCCCAAACTTGAGACCTTGGATCTTGGAGGGAATAATTTCAGTGGCTTCATCACAGGACAACTTGGGAGGCTGCCTATGTTGTTGAACTTAAATTTAAGCCAAAATAATTTTATGGGAAATATTCCTGTTGAGTTTGGCATATTCAAAGTTCTTCGTAGTCTCGATCTTAGTGGGAATTTTTTGGGTGGAACAATACCAGCAATGCTTGGACAGTTGAAATACTTAGAAATATTGAATCTCTCACATAATAGTCTTTCAGGTACCATTCCCTCTAGCTTTGATGGTATGTTAAGCTTGACATATATTGGTATATCGTACAACCAATTAGAGGGTCCACTTCCAAACATTCCAGCCTTTCATTACGCTACAATTGAAGCTTTGAGAAATAATAAATGCTTGTGTGGTAATGTCTCTGGTTTGGAGCCTTGCCCTTCATCAAATTGCATATCTCATCATCATAAGACTAACAAAGTCATATTGGTGGTTCTACCCTTTACTTTGGGCATTCTACTGGTACTCTTTGTTATCAGAGTCTCGTATCATCTCTGCCGATCTTCACACACAAAAGAAAACCAGGCTGCAGAATCTCAAACTCAAAATTATTTTACAATATGGAGTTTTGATGGAAAAAAGGTGTATGAGAACATTATTGAAGCCACAGAAGAGTTTGACAACAAACATCTCATTGGGGTTGGAGGGCATGGATGTGTTTACAAAGCAGAATTGCCGACGGGTCAAGTTGTTGCTGTGAAGAAACTCCATTCAGCACCAAATGAAGAAATCTCTAATCTAAAAGCTTTCACAAGTGAGATCCAAGCTTTGACAGAAATTCGACATCGTAACATTGTCAAGTTATATGGGTTTTGTTCTCATTCGCGATACTCATTTCTGGTTTATGAGTTCTTGGAGAAAGGTAGTGTGGAGATGATTTTGAAAAATAATGAACAAGCAACTAAGTTTGATTGGAATAGGAGGGTGAATGTGGTTAAAGGCGTAGCTAATGCTTTATGCTATATGCACTGTGATTGCCGGCCTCCAATTGTTCATCGAGATATATCAAGCAAGAATATTCTTTTGGATTTGGAATATGTGGCTCATGTCTCTGACTTTGGAACAGCTAAACTTCTCAATCCTAATTCAACCAATTGGACTTCATTTGCTGGCACATTTGGATATGTTGCTCCAGGTTCATTCCCTTTCTTTAAACTTATAAAGGATATAATGATTTTGTAGTTTGTCTTTGCTAGTCATTTGTCAACATAACTAGTTAATTATTATCTGCACATATCATGTTTACTTTTTTGTTCCTATTTTGTACATGATAACTCTTTTTAATTTGGTACAGAACTTGCGTACACAATGGAAGTAAATGAGAAATGTGATATGTATAGCTTTGGAGTATTAGCATTGGAAATACTCTTTGGAAAGCAGCCCAGTGATGTCATGTCTTCTTCATGGATTGTTGTGGCCTCAACACTAGATAATATGTCATTGCTGGATAAGTTGGACCAACGTCTCCCTCATCCTATATATCCTATTGTGAATGATTTATTATCAATTGCAAGGATAGCAATTGGTTGCTTGAATGAAAGCCCACGTTCTCGCCCTACCATGAAGCAGGTTGTTAAGGAGCTTGTATTGTCGAAGTAATCTTCAACGGACGAGTTCCAGATCGGCACACAAATATAGCTGAAAGTTTGTAGTTACCAAATTTGCTTAAGTTCACTTGTGCTTCTCTATTTTGTGTTGTAAACCTTTTATCTTTTACATATTTTGTATTATAAGTCATTTTAATTTTGTTGTTTTTGAACTTTAGAAACACCACCAAATTGTGTGCTCAAATAACAAGTATAATTATCACTTCAAATACACTCTTCTGATATTTTGATTTAAAAATTACTTCAAACTTCCTATGAGACCCTGGTTGCAGTTTGAATAAAAAAAATTGAATTTAAATATATATAAGACTTTGGGTAACATAGACATGAAGTACCCTAGTTGCACGAGTCAAATAATAATAATAATAATAAGGCGAGGTTATTCTTATATCGGTGTAAGAATAAGAAGTCTTATATCAAATCTTGATTAATGATTTGTTTGCATCTAATGGCTTACATATATAATAAATCAAGATTACTATATATAAATAGGATCATTGGTGATGATTGTGAGTATAACTTACACCGATATAATAATAATAATAATAAATAAATAAATAAAACTATTACTTGTGATTAACAGCGGCTTAAGAAACAAGTTTCTTTTCTAGGCTATGTGCCATCTCATGATTTATGAATCAACTCTTAAGATTTAATTTTAGCATTCAAAATAGAAAATTGTGGAAATATTTTAAATAGAACTGCATAAGTTTAAGTTTTGGTCTGGACTGGCCACATCGGTCTAGTCCAATGGGCCAATGATCAAACTTTATTTAAGGGTCACTCCCATGTATTTTTATAGCGAGACTTTTAAGCCTTATTATAGATAATCCCATCCCTGCACCATCACACCTCACACATTCCATATGGTCGATGTGTTTGCCTCGCGCGTACAGTAAGACCCACTAGACAAAATGAATATACTCTCTCATCCATTATTAGAGTATCTATCTCAAATATAAATATCACCTCGTCAGTCGTTAAAGAGATGCTTTGAATACATTAATTTATTAATTGTTAATCTGCCAAAATACACACAAAACCCCGAAAGCTTAACACTATCTCTTTTCTCCTAAACTTAGATACTAACGGTGACTCTCACTGTACACTTTCAATTCGTGAACAGTCATTTCGCGGAAACAGAATTATTCAATATTTTCAAAGTTTGTTTTTCTCTTTAATCATTTGATTTAAATATTTTTCACATGAGGAATTTGTAAAGTATTTGTACAAAAAGATTACTTCTTAAAGTGCACAATGATCTGTTGAGACAGCACATACAGATTCAATAGAAATATATCGGCCACCATTAAACATTTTTGTCACTACGCTAGAACAGAAACGATAAGCTTTAACTGTTATTAAATTTTGATTCGGGTTTAATTTCATTACTCGCTAAGATTGATTTTTTTTAGTTACCCAACCCTAATTATCTCTTTGAGACGAGTTGGCTTCTTTCGGTATCCCCACGAGCTTCGACTCTTTGAGCGACTAATCCGGAGTACGGGGGAATAGTGATGACTAAAGGTTCAGCCCCCTCCCCAAGAATACATTCAGCGAGAATCGAACACACATCCAACCCCACAAACTCAGCGCCAACACCCATTTTGAGGTAATTAATGATCCGTATATTAAAAAAAATTGTGATTTTAATTACATCCATTCATCTCAATGGATCAACGATTTTACTTTGGACCGCAAAGTACACTATAGAACCCGTTCCTCCTCGTGCTTTATTAATATTAAATTATCAGTTAGTAAAATGCAAATCACACTCTCGAATTCAGTTAATGTAATGGCGAAGGAAGAAGGTAAGCCTCAGCGATAAAACTAAGAAATTTTAATTTTATTCATTTTCAGTTTTATGCGTTTGAATTTCTGTTCGGATCTTTAGGTTTGGTTCTCTCCGTTTGATTGATCTTCTTGCAGTGTTTGAGTTCCTCGGGTGCGTTCCTCTGCTACAGAGGCTTCCTAGTTCGTCTGTGCAGAAGATATCTCAACTTGTGATTGTCAAACACTATGGTAATAAGATTTGAATTTTCTGAAGAATTTGACCTCGTTTTTCGTTGGAAATTTTTTCATATAGTATTAGTAGTAGATTTTTTATTTTATTTTAATGTTATTATCTTTGGAGTATTTTAGAATATTTCACGTATACAGAATTTCAGCAACCAATTGGAAGAGATGTTTAATTTAGGGAAAAGTTGATTGATGAAATTGTACACGCATTAATGTTTTCATTTCTGAAACGATGGATTCTTGTGTAGAGCCAGGAGAGTATGTTGTTCGTGAGGGCGAACCTGGGGATGGTCTTTACTTCATTTGGGAAGGAGAGGTATTTTTATTTTTTTTTATGTTATATTTCAGAATTGAAAAGCTGTATATAAGGTCATTGGATTGCTTGTAGTGTGATGTAGAGGCAAATCTAATGATGGAAAGTAGGGATGTAAAGATTTTGTTTATGTATCATTATTCTTCGAAATTTCAGTTTTGAGCTGAAAATTCAATTTCCTGGCTTGCAGGCTGAGGTTGTTGGATCTGTTAGCGCCGATGATGAAAATCATCCAGAGTTTCATTTGAAAAGATATGACTACTTTGGTTTTGGTAATAAATCCATTCTCATGCAGCTATGCTTCAAAACTGCTCTTTATTGGTTAAGTGTTTTCCTTTAATCCCATTAGGTATAGGCTTGTCAGGTGTTTGTGTCATTGTGGTTTCGTTATTCTTAATTATATTTGTTGCAATATCTGGAGAATATTTTATTGTATCTTGGAATTTTTTTGAGTATCTTGGATGATCTCTTAGAAGTGGTTTCCAGATTTCATTATATTTCATAATCTGTTTCCTTATTAATTAGAATTAATAGCCTAGAACTAGTCTAAATAGGATTTAGTGGTTTTGTATGTTGACACATTCTTATACACAAAAGAATATTATTAAAAGTTTCCTTTCTATTATTCTTTCTTTCTTTTCCTCCTTCCTTACCTTAATCTTATAATTTCAACATGGTATCAAAGTTGCTATTATCAAGTTATCAAGAGTTTGGTCCCTGCTATCATTATGCTTATAAATTAAAAAAAAAAGAAAAGAATTTAACCATAAGGTTAGGTGGACCTGTGTATTGTTTTACACTTCAAGCCCTATAGGCTCTTCTTTGAGGGGGCTTTTTATAAAAATTAAACCATTTATTTTCCTTCACGTACCAGCTTAAGCTTTTTGAATAATTGATCCATGACATGGTATCAGAGTGGTGTGACCTATCCTATCATTGTTCCGCTACTGAGTTCCTAACAATTTGGAACTCTATTGTGACAATGTCATTAGTTGCATGATTCTTTTCCTTGTGTCGGTCATCACAAATTCTGACCATCAGAATCGTATATTTTCTTTTACCAACGTCACTTTCTCTGCCCCCGCGTCTCTCCTCCCGTGGCTCCCATCTCAGACCTACACTTCTGCTATCTGTCTATTGTCCAACCAACCTGGCCGCAGCATTCACCGCCCCCAACTCAGCTTATCACGGAGTCTCGCCGCCACCATGCGCCTGTCATTGTATTCTGCACATTATGCCTTTATAAGTGTGCGTGGGAGTTCAACTAGACTTCTTTCCGACATCCCTGCTACTAATTGTCTTCCCTAGTTGTCTTTGTTAAGATCGAGCCCCATTGCTCCTATTTGCCACCTTTCCATGGCTTTTTGGCTCCCTTTGGCTGTGGTATTGTTTAATGATCAGATTTAACATGTGTTGGGATATTCAAGTGTGATGAGTCCCACATTGGTTGGTAATGAGCTAAGTGAAGAGTATATAAGTGGAAGGGACCCATGAACCCAATGCCTTAAGGTTTTGGGTTGAGACATGGTGTCGGATCCACTTGCTACAGTTGGTGTAGCCTTAGCTCATTGGTGGTGGCCCCCCGCCACGGGCTTACCCCTGGATCCGCCTGACATTGTTATCAGAGCCGGGTTGGGCTCGAGCTAGCCTGGTGATTGGCTAGGAGGCGGGTCGAGTACTTTGCGCTTCGGGTACTCGGTTGAGGGGGAGCATACCAATGGTGGGTTTCACACTTGAGGGGGAGATTGTTGGTATATTCAAGTGTGATGAGTCCCACATTGGTTGGTAATGGGCTAAGTGAAGAGTATATAAGTGGAAGGGACCCATGAACCCAATGCCTTAAGGTTTTGGGTTGAGACATGGTGTCGGATCCATTTGCTACGGTTGGTGTAGCCTTAGCTCATTGGTGGTGGCCCCCCGCCACGAGCTTACCCCTGGACCCGCCTGACAACATGCTCTCCTTTTCTCCATCAAGTATGATGTGTTTGGACTATGTCTTGGCAATCTTTGTGGTGTTTATCTCTGGTTTATGCCATTCAGCTCTTTTTTTGAGTGTTTGTTTGTTTTTCCAACATCTTTGTGTTCTTTTGTCGTTTGCTTAATTCGTCATCATTGTTTTCTTCCCATTTGGTATTATTGGTGGTTTTCAGTGCCGCATGGCACTAAGGAGGGGACTGAGAATGATAAAGATACATGTCTTCCTTCTGACAATTATTCTGGCAGTGAATTTTTATCGATTAGTGACATTCTTCTTGCTAACAATCATTTCAGCAGTTCACTGACGATCATACTAGTGGTTACTTCTCTTTGCATCGATGATAATTCCGATGGTAACTATTGGATATCCTAAGTTTTCTTGTAGATATAAGGTATTACACATTATTATGCATAAATTTTTTTCTTGATAAGCTTGGAGAAGAAGTTTTTGTATTGCTTATGAGGAAATTTCCGATAATGACTGTTCCAGCGAAGTCTCTTCTTCCTTGGTCATGCAATATTCCAGCCTGCTCTTCAGGCTGATGATCATTCTAGCCATATTGCTTGGTTATCTTTCCAGCATCACTGAGTTATTTTCCAGCCATGTTTTGTGGAACCCACTTTATATTTGTGTTATTTTCTTTTTTAATATTATTCATTTATAACAAGCATAAAACTTTGTAACCTTTAGCTTGAGAGGTAGTGTTAGAATATCTAGAAAATATCTCATAATATTTTTATTATATCTTTAGAATATATTAGAATATCTTAGATGATCTTTAATGAGCGGCTTCTTGATTTCATTATATTTCCTGCTTTGTTTCCTTATTTATTTAATTAGAATTAGAATTCTAGTAGATGCTTTGTATTTTAACATATAAACAAGAGAATAATATTAAAAGCCTCCTTTCTCTCTGCTCCTTCGCCTCTACCTATTACCTAAACCCTATAATTTCATCAACATTCTACATTAGAAATATGGCAATTGGTTAAAAATTCGGTAATCATACAGAACATTTTTTTAGCTCTAAAAAGCAGAGGTCTTTTTTGATATTTTTGCAAATAAGATTTTTGTCTGGAGTTCTCTTAATACATTAAAGATATGAGAGATATCACCTTAAATTGTTTAATAAATATAATTACAGAAGATGCAAACTTGCAATTTGCAGGTTTATCAAATGAAGTTCACCATGCTGATGTTGTAGCTTTGACTAAGGTGCCCTTTTAGTTTCTAGTCCTACTGCTTTCCAATGTCAACACCATATGCTTTTAAATAAAATGGTTTTTTTATCCTATAGCTGTTTTTTTGTTTGCTGTGCAGCTATCATGCTTAGTGCTGCCGCATGAGCACTCGGCACTGCTGCAGCCAAAGTCTATCTGGAGTGCAGAAAAATCTCACGAGACATGCTCACCTATGGAGCATATATTGCATTTGGAACCCATAGAGGTGCTCTTGTATCTTTGATATTATAGAATATAATATATTTGTAAAACGCTTTTGTGTTGAAATGGTTCTTTACATGGTATCAAAGCTGACGTGACTAAGTGGTCATGAGTTTGATCCTCACTGCTCCCATTTTATTAATAAAAATAACTAGATATTGTGGAGTTTCTTAGCATAGGTAGATTGAGTCTGATGCATCATCCACCCTTCAAGTCCAATGGGCTCTCGTGTAAGGGTGCGTGTTGGAGAAATATAAAACCATTAATGTAGCCACACCCCCAGCTTAAGTTTTTGGGGTGAAATGGTTCTTTACCATATTCATACTACTAGAGAAGGAAAAAGAAACTAGTTAGATGTGGTTGTCCTAGTTTATCTTTGATATTAAGTAATGGCAGGCTATATATCCCTACAATTCAGCCTTAAATTTCTTTCTTTTCTTTCTGTTTTCTCTTTGGAAGGTAGATATCTTCCGAGGAATCACCCCTCCAGATGCTCCGAAATTTGGGAAGGTGTTTGGGGGACAGTTAATTGGACAGGTATGATAAAACTGCTTTATCTGTTTCATATTACAGCATGTACTCATGTCAGTAGCACCTTCTAGGCCTAGACTGCTTACGAGATAATGTTTAACATTCAGGCACTGGCTGCAGCTTCAAAATCTGTTGATTATCTCAAAGTTGTTCATAGCTTGCATGCCTATTTTCTTCTTGTGGGGGATTTTAACAGTAAGCGTGTTTAATCACTGTACTTTGTTGACAATGCTCTGCTGTAACTCCCTTTTCTGTTTCTTTTTATACCTTTTCATTACAGTTACTTGAAAGATTCATTTTTTCCTTGGTCCACTTGTTACATTGTTTTCTATAAACAAGTTTTCTCCTATTTTATTTATGATTTGCATTTGCAAATGACTTCAATTCTTTTATTTTTAGTTAGCAGTTTAATAATTTTCTTCTTCTTAACAAATCTTACTCCTGGCTTTTCATCACCAGTTTCTCTTTACCAGTGTGCATGTTTGTTTTGTTAGGATTGCTCCAACTGTTTATCTTTTGCTTAATTGTCTTGAACTGAGAGACAAGATAAATCAGTAGATAATCATAGTGAACCAAATTCTGAGTTAAGTTATGCATAAAAAACAGGTAATTGATTATAGATCATAATCCATCTAGCAATCTCAAATGGCAGTAAGTAATTGCAAGTTCTTTATTGGTTGCTAGCTAAACTCAATGTAGTCAAGTAACTTTAACGTTTTGTTCTCAATAATTTAAAGTCTCTGAATAATCCTTTAGTTAGGTTTCTAATAGGAACTGGACCAGGAAATAGTAGAAAACAGATAGAAAGAGATGAACTTTTATTGAGTATCACCCTTATCCCTAGTTCTGAATCGAGGTGATTGCATAATCAAGAGGAAAGATGGAAAAGAAGAAATACAGAGAATTAACTCCCCCAGCCCCAGGAAATACGAGTCGTGGCTCTCCATCTGAACGTCTTTTCCCAAAACCATCCCTCCTATTATTTATATCCTGTTATTTCTCTCTCTTTCTAACTAACTGACTGTTCTAAGTAACTAAATGTCAGTTAACTATCTAACTGTTGGGGGTCTGCTAACAGTTTCATGTTGACTTATAGTTTCTTCTAATAAAGATCCTATTCATCCCAAAAGCTTAAGTTGTCAGGTGAAAGCCACATTAATGGTTTTATATAATATTTCTCAAAACATGCCGCTGCACACAAGAACTCATTAGGCTTAAACGATGGACAATATGCAGACCCACCAACCTATGTAAGAAACTCCACAATATTTTATAATTTATTAATAGAATGAAGACGGCGAGAATCAAACTCGTGACCACTTAGTCATGGAGGCTATGATATCATGTAATGCAACCAGTTCAACCCAACATCTTTAAGTTATTAGGTGAAAATCACATTAATGGTTTTATATTATATTTCTCTAACAAAGATTACAAACTGTGTTTAGTAAATCATGCAATATTTTCATAATAATAAAAAATTGCATATGTATTTTACCAAAAAAAAATAAAAAAATTGCATATGCACACTTCATTATCATCATTCACATACAATGTTATATGTACTGCTAACTCTTTTTTTTGTTAGCTAATAATAGGAAAAAAATAATAATACCTTGTGTAAACTTTCCTTTTTCAGTACCAATAGTGTATCAAGTTAACCGTATGCGTGATGGTAAGAGCTTTGCTACGAGGAAAGTAGATGCAATTCAGAAGGGAAATATCATATTCACTTTGCTGGCTTCATTTCAAGTAATGCTCATTCTTCTTGACTTGGAATAAGATAAATATTCAGTCATTTTTTAGTTTATTTAGCTTTGAATCTGGCCATTTCACGCGCTCTCTCTATTTCATATGTACAGTTGCGTGTAATTCTTAAATGAATATAATCTATAATAACAGAAAACTGTAGAATTAAGCACAAGCAATTTTCTTTAGGTTAACATTTCAGACTAGTACTGCTAGGAATAAGATGAAAAAAACCATTTGGAGGACCATACAGGATATATAAAATCCCTATCATTAATTATAGTAAGGATAATATCTAATTGATGTTAAAACCCATGTGTAAAAGAGGGATGTCTTGTATAATTTTGGAATGAAATGTATCTATATTGAGTTGGGTTATGGCATGACAGTGTTTAGTTCTGCGAGCAGTAGGTAGATTGATGCAATATCAACAGTTAGTAAATGAGATGCCATCTAGCTTAATACAATCTGAAGAATATGAATCTATGATAAGATCCCCTTTTTATAGTATAACATGGTTGATGTGTAGGCTGTTATCATTTTGACTAATATAAGTTCTTTTAGCATATATGCTCTAACTCTAGTTGAGGAATTCAGCTGTAACTTCCAGAGCACATTTGACTTTGCTATTACCTTAATTCTACAGAAAGAAGAATTAGGGTTTGACCACCAGGAAGTGTGTATCCCATCTGTCCCTGCTCCAGATAAGGCAAGCAATGAGCTTATATTCATAAAAATAGTCAATTTGCTGTTATGGATTTTGCACTATTACATTTTGTTCTCTTTAATAGCTTCTGTCAATGGAAGAGTTACGGCAGCAACGTCTTACTGACCCTTGTCTTCCAAGGTAAAATTTACCATCAAGTATGTCTTGCTTGATGCACTGTAGTTGTATATTTGTTTGTTTTTATTCAGTTCAGCTCCAGATAATATGATGATTTTCAGAACCATAATGACAATTTTTCTTGCTTCAGAACTTACCGGAACAAGGTTGCTACAACTGAATTCATTCCCTGGCCCATAGAGATACGGTTCTGTGAACCTAGGCCTTCTACAAATCAGACCAAATCTCCTCCTAGGTTAGCTTGATATACTCTGCAAATTTTTGCTTACATTTATACTGGTCTTATGTTCAGTGAGAAATATTTGGTTGGAGGGAAGGGAAAGGATTGGTGAACCATTCCATATACTTCAATCCCTTGCCTTCCTCTCTCTGTAAATCATTTTTACAGAGCCATAATGTCTGGGATTTTTATTGCTACATATTATCTAAACTTCTTCATAAATTGAATGCAGTTTGAGATACTGGTTTAGAGCAAAGGGAAAACTTTCTGATGATCAGGCCTTGCATAGGTACAAATCTTCTATTTACTATTGGATATGTCCGTTTCTGAGTGGTTTAGCAATATTGGCTTTTACTGACATGCTAATGTTTGCATTCCTTGGAACCTTGTGCCTGAAACAGTTATGTTAAAATTTGTGTGTCGTCTTTGGAAAACTTTCATGAGAAAGGACCAGCTTGGAGAGTTTTTTAAAAGTAGAAATTGCTAAAAATTCGATCTGGTTGTATCGATCCATCTGTGTTGAAACTATGTCAAGGACCAACTATTCTAAAAACTTAAGTTGTTAGGTGAAGGCTTATGAATGATTTATATCTAATATACCGTCTCACACGAGCCTTTCAAGCTTTAAGTGTGGACAATGCACGAGCTAATTTTACTTTGCTGAAATTCACTTTTATTTAGAAAAACGGGTTTGGTAGGGATTAAACTAGTGACCACTTAATCATAAAAGCTATGATACCATGTGAAGGACCAACTATTCCAAAAGATTAGTGAAGACTTATGAATTGTTTTATATCTAACAACCCATTGTATTTGGTTTGTATTGCAGGTGTGTGGTAGCATATGCTTCAGATTTAATATTTCTTCAAGTAAGTTTGAATCCCCACCGTGGCAAGGGCTTAAAGACACGTGCTGTGAGTCTGGACCACTCGTAAGTATCTGAGTCCTCTTGCTTTTGTGAGAGGTAATTTGTATATTAGCATGATAACATGTGAGGCTTACCTAACCAATTTTCAAATATGATTATGAATTTTCTTTTTTGCTTTTTGTTTAATGCTTTTTCCATTTTTATTTCAGCATGTGGTTTCACAGGCCTTTAAGAGCTGATGACTGGGTGCTATTCGTGGTGAGTGTCATAAAGTGTTTCATTAGTTTGTGAAAGTTCTAACAACAAAATTCTTGGTAATAATAGTCTGTTTAGAAACAATTAACTATTCAAGTAGTTTATTAAGTCAATAAATGGTTACTCATTAATCAGTCTTTGAATATCATTAACTAGTTGAGTGGTTAATTTTTCCTAATTGAAAATATTTTCAACACAAATTTTTTCGTAATTTGTTTATTTTTATTTTTGTTTTGAAATGTTGTCAATACGTCCAATTTGTTTTACAGATCTTTACTCCTAGTGCCTGTAATGCACGTGGCTCTGTCTCAGGCGAAATGTTCAATGAGAAGGGAGAGGTAAGGGATTACCTATCCACATCACTTCATCTAGTACATTACTCCTTGGTGCAGTGCAATTCTGAAAGGGTTTTCCTTTTCTTTCCTTACTGTTTCCTTCTTTTTTCATGCTTATGTGCGTGTACACTTTTGTCAGCCTAAGATCCCCCCGTTTTCCCTGGTTTAACTTTGTCTTAAAGTTTTCCCATTTGTTGACTTGCAGCTTCTTGTATCATTGGTTCAAGAAGGTCTAATGAGGAAGGTTAATTCCGCAGATTCTGCCATCAAATCTAAGTTGTGAACAGCTGAAAATGCACAGGACATATGGTTTTCTTTTTCATTCTATCTTGTTTTGTGGTGCGTGGTCAGTTTTTTTTTTTTTTTTTTTTAAAGATTTTCCTGTTATGCTGGTCATATAAAAAGTTTGGTGAACTGTGCAATTTATACAAATCTAGTAAAATGCCGTTATATTTGACTGATCAAATTCTTAAACGTGTGATTAGGATGTGGTACAAGTGAAAATAAAAGGAATGGAAAGGAGGGTGATGGATTGAAACTTGATTATGCATTTATACTTCTTTTTTTTTCTTTTTGGTAAACTTATGCATTTATACTTTATTTGGATCGTTAGTAGCACATTGTCAAAAATATTTTGAACTCGTATCAAGCGTACCCTTTTAACTAAATTCTTGCATAAGGTGAGTTTTCTTCGCTAGTGAATGGAATTTTATAAATTTGGTTGATCGGTCAAGTGCTAATCTTATTTAAAAAGTACAGGTGACTCTGAGCAATAGTTTCAATGAGTAATGTACTCAAATCTTTTAGGATTTGAAGCTTACAGATTTTCGTGGGGTGATGTTGGGGACTCCAAACTCCAAATGGGACTTTCAATTAAATATATGAAAATACTAGGCTAGCTAAACAAATCGTTGAACAAGTCTAATATCATGTATTTTCACTTAATATATTGTAGCTTTTTCCGCGCCCCCCTTGTTTTGTTGCAGAAGCATATTCATGCTGCATATTCGTCGTGGCAGATTTACATAACCACATACTAATCAGAATTTGACTAACATTCGTGCTGCGTATTCGTCGTGGCAGATGTACATAACTATGTATTAATCCCCGAAATGACTATTATGGGAATGTGGACGCCCATGAAGGAATAAAAGCATATCTCCCAAGACCACCCAGGAAAAAAATCTACCATATTGCAAAGTTCTATTATGTCGAGGAAGACATATATTACATGGTACTAAAGAACATATTTTGGGCATAATTGTTTAAGGATATTAGTACAAGATTTTTTTATTTTTTTTTGGAGAATCTATATTTTGGGTTACCATGTAAAAAGATATATGAATTCACAAGGAGTTGGGTACAGTGCGGACTGTCTTCTCAACTCTTAAACTTTAACTCATCATAGAGATGTCATTTATAAAAATCGTTTAAATATATTATTTTTATTAGAAAAAAATTAGTCTCACACATAAAGGTGTGAAGATATCCTAGTAAACAAAAGAATGGAAAAAGATATCGACAAAGCTAATAGGGATTAGTTTAGTAGGTAGGAATTTTAACATTTTGCTTATACCATTTAAGTTTGATTCTTCTCTAACGAATATCTTTTCATAAGTGGTTTGTAAGTATTATTATAAATCAATAGAAGACAAGTCACATGCCCTTGTCATGAAATGGAACCGTTCCTCCTTTATACTTCATTTTAAAAAAGAAAGAAAGAATAATCTACATATAAATATAATTTATTCGGCATATTGCCAAGCTTTTACAACTAATTACATCGGTATCGAAGAATATAGAAGAAACCAAGGTGGTCTTGTTAACAATGGTGATATCCAAAACATAGTTTGACATCAATTAAAAACTGGGAGTGTTGTACTGTTAAAAAAATGAGAGTGAAAAAAAATAAAATTATGAATCTTATTTTATGTTTGGATTTCGGATTTTGTTTGGTTATTATTTTATTTTCAACTAAAAGATAAATTGTCTGGGTGGTGTAGTTGGTTATCACGCTAGTCTCACACACTAGAGGTCCCCGGTTCGAACCCGGGCTCAGACAAGTTTTCACTTTTTTTCTCTTTCAGTTTATTATTTTGATTCTTCCCATTCCTAATGCGGTATCCAAACATTAGGATAAATGATTATAAGGAAAACCATATTTCTGTTTTGAATTTTTCCCTTTTAAAGTTTTCGTCCAGCTGAATTTAAATTTAGTATGCAAACAGATGAACATCTTAAATTTAATGTATAAGTGACCCTGCTGAATTTGTATCTCCTTAAAACAAATATTGCTGAACTGCTTTTAAAGAAACAATTATTGGAAGACAGGGTATAACGAGAAACGAAGACAAAACTCCAAAGTTCATTAATCAAATGGAACCAACCTCAGCATATTAAGTTCATAAATCGAATACATATATCTGGTTTACATTTCTACGAGTGTTGTTCGGACAACAGTCAAATACTTGTCATATATATACGTGAAAGCATTAAATATGAAAAATCATAATCATACATTTGTCATTGCTATACGTAAAAACTAAAGCTGCTGTGGAAATGATTTTACTTATATATATATATATATATATATAGGGCTTAACATTTCTGCAGCAGCCGTAGATAGTGTTATCTACAGCTGACACAGAAAAGTGGGCTCCACGGCTTTTTAAAAAAAAAAAAAAAAAAACTCAGGATCCGTTGCCGTATCCTAGGATTCGGACGTGTATCCTTGCTTGCTGTAGGTACAGCAGCTGCAGAAATCATTTTGCGATATATATATAGGGTCAGGATCATTTTACACAAGTGTAAGTTACATTCTTAATCTTGTCCGTTAATCCCACTTATATCTAAGGGTTCAAATTTTTTAGCAATGTGAGTCATTGAATACAAGTGGATCAATGGTCAAGATTGAGTGTAAGACTTATAACTCTTACACCAGTGTAAGAATATCCTACCCTATATATATATATATATATATATATATATATATATATATACACATACACATACACGTGTGTGTGTTGTGCATAAAGCAGATGCTTAATAGAACAACCTATGTTGTTTACTTGAAACCGAATAAGTATTACAAGAAATAATATAAAATTATTAATGCGACTTTTATCTAACAATTTAAGTTTTTTTGGTTGATTTGATTCCTTACACAAATATTGTGGAATTTCCTAGCATTGATAAATAAGATTTGTGCATTGTCTATCCTTTAAGCCTAATAAATTCATGTTGAGAAAATGACCTTCACCTAACAGTTTAAGCTTTTAAATTTACAAATATCAAAAACAACAAAAAAAAGTGCCTATAATCCTCTATGAATGACTTTACATTTACATGATTATGATATATACAGATTACATCAAAAGAAGAATATATTCCTACATCCCAATTTGTTTTGGTGAATTTCTGACAATTTCATAAAGAAATTCTCAAACTTTTGCAAGTATTTTAGGATTATGATGTGTAATTACATAACAGCTTGCTTTCCTTGCAATCAGCTTGACTGACCATATACAAAGCCACCTCATTAGCACAAGTTGGAGAAGACATTCATAGAAAAGTGTTTCCCTTTCATCTAACAGTTAGGCCAGCCATTTTGTGAGTGCTCCTTAGAGTAGCTATTTCTCTTTGCAACAAGTTGAGCTCGAATTAAATTTTCAGTTGCAATTGCTTCTTGAATGTCTTTGTGAGCCTTTTTGCAGAGATCATCAAGTGCAAGCATTGGAAATGGCTCCTCTATTAGAACTCCAACCTACATTAAGCAAATTTTTCACATTTTGGAATTAGCTTTCTAACCAGATTACAAGTGGGAAAGAAAAAACTGATAATTGTGAAATAGCTTAAAGGTTCTGTTTCTCTTAAGTATATAGCCTTATAGGTATAAAAAGTTACATCAAGACATGATTTGATATATTAAATAGTCATGGTAAGAGAGGAACATACTTCTTCAATGCAGAACAAGGAGGCAGCACTAATAAAGGTAGCAGGAACCACAATCCAATGACAATCATCCCAAAGTATGATAGGGAGTGTCAGATGCCAGAGTACAAGAAACCTTGAGGTCAAATGAGTATATGATAGTGGTATTGGAATACTCAGAAGTTGTTCACAAATGCCAATTCCTTCATGGAAACAAGATATCTTTGACTCCTGTACTACAATGAGGGAAGTGTTATGCAAATAAGAAATTGCCATACAGTGCATAAATGTGAAGATGAAACTCAGAATTGCATAAACCTTAGAACTTTCTAATTTTGTTAATAAATTTAATAGAAAAGATATATTTCGCTGACATTGACAAAGAAAAGAGCTACATATTTATAGCTTTATCTCCTAATCACCAAGGGCTCACATAAATGTGTATTTTACAAATTGAAGTGGAACTAATGAGAAAAAAGAACAATCAAAGATACTTTTCTAGACGAACATTAATGGGTAATATCTGATATCTTGTGTTTCTCTTATGAGGTTTTTCCCTCTTATATATGCTATAATAAATGGTTAGAATAGTAGTGGGTACTTATCGGTAATCCATCATTGAGATCATGGTAGGGCCCCTTGATGCCACTAAAGCCTAGGTCATACACACGTTCCGGGCTCCTTGTCCGGATTCTAAACTTGATCGATGTTCCTTATCCCTAAACCGTAACTCTGACGTGAGCTCCATTTGGGCTTATCCAAGCCCATACGACGAACCCGGAACACTTTCTTATAGACTATATTGATGAGGAAAGAAAAAACAACAATTAAGAATTACTAAAATGCAAATAACAAGTAGGCCAGAGATTACCAAAACATTTCTTCTTGAATCCTCCAAATTTAGCTGTCGAAGGCTTTGTGAGATAAACTCAATAATGCAGCGTGGCGGGTGTTTGGAATTAACCACAAGCTCTATATCATCTACTTCTAGCAAATGTTGGAGGTCTCTCCTAACATCCGAACCATACAACACATGACACTGCATTGAATAGTTCAAAAATGGTGATCAATGTTCAATGAGTTGCACTATACCAATTTGAAGAAAACTATATAAAAGGCATTCACAATTCCCAATATCATTGAAGTGTTTTTTAGAATGAATCATGTAATGTCTCATTTTAACATCAACATGTCATTTGAGAAAATTGATCAATAGAAAAAAATTTAACGACAAAGTTCATAGAACAGAAAAGAGGAAATCACCATTTTAATTGCTAAAAATTGATTTATTAATGAATAACTAAAATTGTTACATTATATGGTAATGTTAAAAATAAAACAAGAAAGAATATACTATATTCTCAATTTTTTCCATATATAAAAAAAGAGCAAACTTAAGTGTTATTATAATTAAGTGTATAGCACTTCCAACAACCTAAATCTAACCGTAAACAATTTGAAGAAACCCACACAAATAGCCTTTCACAATTCACATTATTCTTGAAGATTTATAATAAACAAATAGCAAAATGAGTTGGCATTCATTCATTATCTATAATGAAATGAAAATCAAAGGAAAATATATTACCACCAAACACGTGAATCAATTAGTAACCGGTTGTTTTAGCTTAACTAGCGACAATTTTGCTACCCTTATGTCCTACGGTTCGAATCGAATTAATTGAATAATTGATGAAGTAATGGATAATATAAAAAAATAAATAAATAAGTATATTATGATTTTTCTAACCTTAAGCACAACAGGAAATGCCATGATGTAATGCAAGAGTGCCATCTTGATATGAAAATCAGCATCATCATTATTATTATTATTCTCAACACAACCCATCACAACCCTAGAAAAATCATGAACCCCACTAATCACACTCGTCCAACCCTTCTTCCCTTCCACGAACCTCGAGTACGCCGCCTCCGTTCGGAACACCAGCAGCAGCGCCAGCGCCGGCGCCGTCAGCTGGTAGCTCAGCGATGACGCCCTCAGCAACGAAAAAAACTCCGGCAACCAGTGCTCCAACACCGCCGTGTTGTACGCTGCAATGAAGGCGGCGAAAGCGGTGAATGCCACCACGGGAGGCACCAGAGAAAGAACCACGCGCGATGAGAGGCTGGAGAAGAAGTGGCGAACGTGGCGTAGAGAGCTTCGGTGTTCAACCCATCTATGGTGGTCGTATAAGGTTCGGTTCTGTTGCACCCCATGTTCTTTCACTATGTCAGCCCATTCTGGAATGGCTCGGAGGATCCATATGAGAGTGTTCTTTGAAGAAGAAGAAGGGTGAAGTTTTTGGGTGAAGTTGGAAGAGAAGGGTTTGGTTTGAGTTGAGAGTGAAAGAAAGAAGAATGTGGATGAAAGGATAGGCATGTTCCTTCTTCAACACTGTTTTTGACTTTTTTTAGAGTGGAAAAGAGTGATGGAGGAGAAGAAGATATGATGATAATGATGATGACAGGTTAGTTAGTTAGAAACGGTTAATTGTTGTGAAGAATGTTTTTGCACGTGTCAATGTTTCACACAATTGGATGAGAAACATACAATTTTAAAATAAACGGAGATAAGTTATTAGTCCAGAACAATGTTATTTTAGGACGAAAATCTAAGTATTTTTGTAATTCTAATATATTGCAAAGTTATATTAGTTTTTATCATTATAATTTTTTAATCTTATAACTCAAAACGACGTCGTTTTGAGCTCACTGAAGATAAAATATCTCTCGTAACTAAAGAAATATTTTTCCCTAAAATAAAACAAAAAAAGAGCATCAATTATTAAAGGGCTGTTCTCAAGTTTGAGTCCTGACTTTTGAATATGCAGCTATATTAAAAATATGGTACGAATAATTTGTCCACCCTTATGACCATGCTTAACTCGATCGGATTAATCTCTTAAGCAATGAACGGTGGAGAAATCTTAAAAAATAAAATGAAATGAAACAATATAGATAACCTACACTAAAAAAATGGGTGGAAATTTCTTGGTGTTAAAAATATGTTTATAGGCCTTGTGATAGCTACGTGTATATTTTACGTGAATGCTTTCAATGATGAAATTATGTAGATACAGCTTTTCATGATCCATCTACATTAATATTTTCAACTTTTTTCACGAGTCTGAGATTTTCAATTTGACCACACAAGTGCCTAAAAAGAATATACTCTCTAACTATGATTTAAGCACATTAAATTAGATGGAATTAAAATCATCTTCATATCGTTTTCACATAACTGGATGAGCTACCAAGATATACTTTGAAATTAATAATTATAATACACTGGAATAGAGATAATAAGATGCCCTCTCTTTTTTCCTCGTGATAATTTATTGTGAAAACCAGCCTCTGACAAATGTTTACAACTTCAAAGTACTGGCAAATTGACTACAACTTTAAAATTTAAGTGTCAATATTTTTATATTAATTTTACACATTTCCTGATTGAAAAAATAAAAGAGGTGAAATATGTTATAATGTATTTATTTTTATTTTTTTGATAACATGTTATAATGTATTTTTACTATAGAAAAAGTGTGACGCAAATATGATGGGGGAAATGTAAATAACATTAAATTGACAATATCATAGTAGGACTTCAATTCCACATATTCCAGCCCAACACTCATCACATTCTATGGAATAATAAAGCCCACAAAGCATGTATGGTAAAAGAGCAACATAACCATGCACTAAAAAAAAAAAAAAAAGAGCAACATAACTCACATAAGACACACAATTTTCCTTTTTCAGTAATTTTTTAATGAAAAGTGCGAATTGCTTTCAAAGATAAAAATCTAACTGGTAACAAAAATATTACAACACATGAAAGCTTCTTGGTAGATTTAAAAGGATGTTAATGCCCCCCCACACCAAAAAAAAAAAAAAAAAAAAATCGTTTTTGAAAGCTACTCATGCACTATACTTGTTGAGGTTTTATAGTACCCACCACCAATGAGTAGGTGTTCCAGGGGGAACAGGTTGAGCATATTGAACATCCTTGATTGAGAAATGGCATAATAAAATTACTCAGCCACTTTTGCTGATCGAAATTGTTCCTTTGTCCTACCATAATAGACAGGTTCCTTCCCTAAAAAGGTGATAAAATTCCAGCCGAAAGCTGATCCACCAACTATGTATGTCCCTTGTGCCTGACCATCTTCAGCATGCAGCTTCTGAAGCCCATGAACTGGTGGGGTATGCTTAATTTCAGATGACCGTGCAAATGCTTTCTCTACTGATGATTTCACATGTTGAGACTGCTGCTCTTGCCCTGTTTTTTTATCCAAGTTCTGGCCATCTTGCATGTTCTTCGACTTTCCTAGTGAAACCACATCCGCTTTCACATTATCATATAACTTTATCACAATCTTCAGCTCTGCAATCACAAGATGAAGTCAGAAGCCTATTTCAAGCAACCACACCTGTAGCATCTTTCAACATGTAATCTAAAACTACAAGAAATCTTAGACATGGTGTCATCATCAGGAACCAAGGTTCAGCTATATGCCAGTCAGCATATACACATCCAACTCCAAGCAGATAAAACAAAATTATTTATATTGTGGACAAACCCAAATACAAATAGACATAAATTCAATTGATTAGCCGTTTTGCCATTTGCATTATGATTTGATTATTTGATAAACCATGTAATAAACATAATTTTGTCTAGATGAGCTTACGTTCTTGAATTTCGTGGGATGCCTTGCAATTTTTGTAGTCAGGAGTTTGAAGAACCTTCAAGATCAAACAGCAGTAGTCAGACACCTTATATAGTATTTCAAGCAAAAGAAGGCATTCTACGCAACCAAAGGAAGGGAAAGGGATGTATTGAAAATTATTCAAACCACCTGAACTAGTAGGAACATGGCTCAATAATTCAATACATATTCTTGTCAGTTTCATAGAGAATGACTAAAATGGTTATTTAAAATTCATAACGCTTGACTTGGATCAAAGAAAAGAAACTAGTAACTGTGTACATTATAGTCTAGTACAATATATAAGCAATACAAAATGCTATATAAACAACATAAGAGGTTATCATAATCAATGATGCATACACATAAGAGATGCATGCAACTATTAGAGGTGATTTTGCCTTCTTCATCCAAGTGCACGCACACAAAAAAAAAAAAACAAGAGGGAAGTTCCAAAATTTGGACTGAATCAGCAGGTCAAATGTACAATTTAATTTTATATTTTTTTCATTTTCCTATGTTGAAAATAATTATTTTTGTAGAGAAACCACACAGCATAACAAATTTCTACATGCAATGTTCCCAAGAAGGATCTGGATCCTCTAAAAGTCTAAAGCACAAGGTATATACTTTAGAGATAAAGTACAGGTGGTAACCATTGATGAGTATAAAAGGGATGGATTCTCATATATATATATATATATGTATGTATATATATATATATATATATATATATATATATATATTTATATTTGAGTTATCTAAGTTACTGTATTTTACTATTTTATAAACATCTAAATTATTGAATTTTTCATCAGCGATTATCAACTCTGAACTTTACTGTCCAAAGTCCATCAGACACTTTGGATCATCCAAATTTCCCAAGAGAACCAACAAACAAAGCAAATGAGATTTATATAGCCAAATAATTCTTACAAAAAAGGCATGTGATGAGTTATCAAGAAATGAAAAAATGAATTATGATAATCAAATGCCTTCCATTAAAATGTCCAATTTTCGAACATGTTGTTTTAGCACCTGAACATGGGATTGACAGAAAGACAACCGAAGGTGACAAGGATTTGGATAGAAAGATAACAAAAAAGCTGCTAGGATGACCACAAGGAATGACATAAGAGGCTAACAAATCTTGCCCGCCATATTTGAAGCACTTCTTTTCTACCTACTTTCAAGGTGTTAGCAGTAAAAAGCAGAATCAGGCACTATGGAATTGTACTCTTTAGGCTTGGGTTTGCTACAATTGGATGGAGTGAAAAGCCAGAATTTGTAGTTGGATGTTTCTTCCTTCATTTCTTTTGTCGGACAGACCTATTTTCTAAGCCTCTATGAGTATCGGCTAATTGATATCTAAGGGACTTTCTATCCATTATTCAAAGGGACTAGTTTGCTCTGTTGAACTGATGTTCTTAACTTCTTTATTTTTTTTCCTTTAAAGATTTATTTTCTTTACTAGGTTTCAAGAACCTTCATCTCTGTACTTACTATATTTTTTAATGAATTTTTTTCATAAAAAGAAAAAAAGAGGGGAAAGAGATGCACTAACTTAGGATTGTCTCAAATAAATAAAGTTACGGTAAAACTTGAAGGACTGTTTAAGGAGTTTATTGAGATCTTGGTTTGTGTCAACCAACCTGTAAAATATACCGTTTAATTTCAAGGGGGTGTCCTCTGAGCACAAAAAAAAATCAAGATGACCACACATATCTCGTCATTTCATTAGATTACCTCTGCTTCCAGAAAACCCCCCACCCCTAAAATTTCACCCTTTCAATCATTTCATGATTTCCCTTTAATATACTAAACTCAAATAATCAGATTGCTTATCAGGTTAGTAAGAAATTTACAATTCGGTATCCAACCTCCATCCCAGACAAATAAGTAAGTTCATTCACTGTCACTGATGACTGCCGAAGAAGGAAAGAGATTACTCCAACCAAATTTTAGATATGAGATACTGAGATTAGAACAACCTAACTACCTTAATAGTTCCAGATCTTGTTAGGACTCCTTGAAGTAACTATTTTCAATTAGGATAATGTTACTCAAAAAGCTTCTTTATTTCTTAGGGTAACTCGTACCTTCCAAAAAGACTTGTTGAATGATATCCTATAATTTGGATTTGAAATTTGATACGAACCTTGTGAGAGCTTCACCCCAAAAGCTAGTAGAAGAGTCCAAAGACCATATAAACCCCACACCAGACCATTACGTTTTCGATATGGGACTCCAAATCTCATACCTTACAACTAGATTGTAATATCCCAGCACACTCCGCAGCACCGACGCTCACGCTTTTTTACTAGCCCTGAATGAACACTACAATGCCAGCATCATCAGATTGCAACCGGGAGACATGGTGGAAGCTCTGATACCAATTGATACAAACCTTGGGAAAATCTCATCCCAAAAGCTAGGTTATAAGGTAGGAAAGCCCAAAGTTCATATAAACCCCACACCAGAACCTTATGTTTTCGATGTGGGACTCCAAGTCCCATACCTTACAACTGGATCATAACAGTATTCATCACACATTACCCAGAAGCCCAGCACCTCATGAATGAGCTATGAAAATACCCTAAAGCTATAATAGAGACCCTAACAATAGTAGCATAACAAATTTGAAACTTGATAAGAATAATACTCTACTAAGGATAAAAGAACACCAAAATTAACAAAACAAAAGCAAACTAAAACCTTAATACACCAATTTATCCATAAACCTGAAAAATAAAATAAAAAAGAGCTCAAATTCCCAACAAGTTTCAAATTCAAGAACGATAATTTCATCGAATAAAAAACAAATCATGCGAGAATTAATTAACAAACCGAACCCAGAAACGAAAACCACATTCATACTTGTATTCAACGAAAAGCAGAGATTTTGACATGATTAACATCATTGTGAGAAATGGGGAGGGGGTATTATTATACCTGAATAAAATGGGGGCGAAGGTCTCGAGTAACAGCACGAATCTTGAAGTAATTGGAGTGGGCATCAGAGTCCCGTGGTCTCTTCTTGGTTGTGGGAGGAAGAGGGGTTTGAGTTTGAGGAACGGTTGATGGTGGGTCAGAGAGTTTTGGTGCAGCCTCAGGTGCTTTTGGTTCTTCCATTGATGAAAATATGACGCACTTCTGCTTCTGCTTCCCCTTCTCCTCCTTGTTCCTCAAATGGGAAAGCTACCTTGGAACAAAGATTTTTTATTTGGGTTTTAGGTTTATGATGTAACATAACACAACTTTACTTTCCTACACACATATTAAAGAGGGGGTCCCACATATTTTTCTTTCTAGATTCATCATTTCACTCTCTCTCCTGTAGTGGAAACAAAACTTAAGTTATGTAACAAAACATTAATAAAACTCTTTTTATTCTACGCAAACAAAGAGGAATAGTGTTTGTGAGTTGCAAACTTGCAATTATGTAATTTTAACTGGGGGAAAGAAATACACAAATTATTTGGGGGATCTTTTTAGTTTAAATTAAAAGATATGAGTTTTAATTAAAATGTGTATCGTTTGATTGATTTTTTGTATTGTGTATCGTGAATCGTATCGAATTATAAGATACAGAAATATAATAATAACAAATTTAAAAATATATAATATAATTAATATTATATAAATTTTACCTAAAAAATTTATATATTACTCATAACTATTTAACAATTTAGTTAGTGTATTTTTACCAAAAAAAAAAATTAGTTAGTGTATCTTAAACCAACTTTGTTTCCTCTCTTTAATTCGAATATATATTGTAAAATTAGCATTTAATTTAAACTTGTAAATAAAATTTCAAATATCCCAGAATTTGTATTTTGAGATATATTGATGAACTTGTTTAAACTTATATTTAGTTTAAATTATTATATGTCGATCATTGGGATTGTATTTTCATTTCCACAACTAGATATGAATTAACATTATTCTCATGTCTTCTAATTCTTATTATTATTATTATTTTGTTGGTTTTCATTCAACACATCTCTTCTAGCTCTCTGCATAATAATGCAATATATAAAGGGACAAATTTTGAGAAGATGGATCAAAATGTCATTGTTCATCAAAAATTTTACTCAAATGTCACGAAAAAAGTTTTATTTTTGAATATGTCACGCGGGCAAGTTTGTTACAGTGTCCAACGAACTTGATTTGCTGATGTGGTACGATTATAGTAGATAACAAATTTGTTACTCTCAGTAACGAATTATGTTACAATTAATGCTGACACATTGGAGAAGTTCATTGTCACAAACAACGAACTAAATGTGCCACGTGCATGAAATATACCAAATTCATTGAGAGTCCAAACAAACTATGTGCCACATGGCACCACCTAGAGAAGTTCGCTTGAGTATATAGCGAACTATGTCCAAAAAGATCGAGTCCCTGTACTCATAATGGTTTTATGACAATTGGGTTTGGAAGCATCACATCCTTGCCATAATAAATAATAGGATATCTCTGTTGAAATTCAAAAGCATACGTGAATATATTGAAAAATTATTGTATTATGACTCTTATAGTCTTTTTGTAACTATTACAATATATAATTTTTGTTGCATTTTTATAATACTCTTTCAATTTTAATTTTTTTTACAAAGATTAAAATTTATCAAATATTTTTAATTTAAAAACATAATTGTATTTATATTTTTTATCTTATTAATCTCTCATTTTTTTGTAATCATTAATCTCTCATTTTATTTATGAAAAATATGAACAAAATGAAGTTAAAAAAGATATTAATATTTTTAAAATTTATTAGAATAACTTGTAAAATTAGTTTTATAATAAAAGTAATATTATTAGAATAATAAGGGAGCGTGCACTATGAGCACAAAAATTAGCCTGCATTTTTGTGAAGTGATGCAGTAATGCTTTCAAACTCAATTGTCAGAAAACTATTATGAGCACACTAAAGAGTAGAGTCACGAGCTTGTTTAATGTGCTACCGGAGCTTCTGCTCCCATTCCAAAAGTGAAAAAAAAATGGATTAAGATGGAATTTAAAAAAAGAAAAGGATATAAATGGAAAAAAAAATTCTTTTTTTAATAAAGGACCATGGAATACTGCTCTCGTCCTGGAGTATAATAGAAAAATCCCGCAAACAGCTCCTATTCTCTCTCTAGGTTAATATTTTTTATATAAATATTTTAAATTTGAGACGACGTTTGAAATCATTTTGGACATAGTTTGCTATATAGTCTAGCGAATTTGTCCATGTTAATGGATATTTTTTTTCTGACAATTGCACGTAGTTCACTGTGTACCGTCGAACTTCTTCATGCTGCCATTTGTCCTGACAAATTGACAATACTCAGAGCAGATTGACACTTACTTCCAGTAGCGAACTAGGTGGCCATCACAAAGATGACACATCAACAAATTATGTTCGCTGGACATTGTAGTGAACTTGTCCGCTTGATATATTGAAAAATAACACTGATCACATGATATTTAAGTACAAAACTTAATAAAAAGTGATATTTTAGTTACTGTTCCAAAATTTTGTAAGAGTGAAAGTCAATTCTCACACGGGCACTTGAAGCCTATCTGTTTTTGTTAGAAGCTTATGTCACTATCATAATCAATAAATAATTCGTACCATTTAATTTGATTCAGTATTTTATCATCATAAAATATGAGTCATATTTAATCTTAAGGATAACTTTTGGTGGAAAAAGGAGAAGAAAATTTTTTAATTTTGATTAAAATATTTTATTTAGTATTTTTATGGAAAATTATTTTCTTTAATTATAAAAAATAACCATCTCATATCACAAGGACATAAAAAAGTGTGCTTGTAAATTTTTAATTTTTTTTAACTTATAGACTCCACATTTTTTATTAGTATAGGAAAAAATGTCTCTCTTATTAAATGAGAAAATTATTACCTTTTACCTTTTTATGTATATAAAAGTTGGGAAAATATTTTCTCCTTTTAAAGAAGAAAATTTTTCTCATGTTAGTGACTCAAAACATAAGTGGATCCCACCTTGAATTTTTTTCTCTTTCCACTATTTTGTGGGACCCACTTATGCTATGGGTCATTAACATGAGAAAAATTTCCTCCTTTAAAAAAGGAAAATGTTTTCCCATAAAAGTTCTGGGGTAGAAAGTATCCCATTATGTTGTCACAATCAAAATAAAAATATCCAACATTTTACTCTAAAAATATGTTGATAAATGACCGGTGATTCATTCCTTTGTAAGCTAAAAACAAACAAAAAAGCCGGAAGATGAGGGAATTCGCCGCAACGGATAAATATAGAAGAACTAAAAAAAATAAGAGCTTAAAAATATAATAATAACTTCAAGAAACATATGAGGCTTTAATGGCGCATTAACACAATAGATTTTGAACGAGGACAAAAATATGTATATTATTTTACGGAATACGATCCATTTATAAAAATAATTTATAAATTACTTAATATATTCTCAAAAGTACACTAATACATAGTATAGTTTGTAAATAAAAAATTTATAAATATAACATTTATCTTGTTTTACATTGCAAACAATTTTATATAATTACGTAGATAAGTAAATTTCCATCCACACAGTCCACTGTTTTCTAAACATTTATAGGACTAGTATAAATTAATGAAAATGCAACGAAGAATATATAATTCATTCATAATCCATATATAAAAGGGAAATTATTGTCTCATTTTATATGAGATAATTATCTCATGTTTTTCTCACATAAAAAGGTATGATATTATTTTTATTTTATTTTTTAATGGATGGTGGGCTCCACCATATTATGTATCTATAGTAGAAATACTTATCTCCTACAACATGAGAAAAATAGAACCCTATCTAAAATGGCAATTATTTATGAATTATGATAGTTAATTAGTTATGCTCTTATAACGCTTCAAACAAATCGAAATTACAGAAAATCCCTGATTCTTCCATAACCTTCTACTACCCTGTCTCCTGCACTGTCACAAATACTCTTACATGAACATAGGGAGCTAAAACCGTACGATGAATCCACAAGCGGAAAAGGTAGTGAGAAGAGTAACCATGGTGGCAACTGTAACAGCTTCTTATTTTCTCTTAACTGCTGATTATGGACCTGAACCTAATGTTCTTGACTCTGTAAGTCTCTCTCTTATGTTTGTTTATCCATCAGTATTCACAAATTTAGAGCCTTTGTAGAATTGGGTCTTATTTTTTTTTCTCTTATTCTTTGTTTCTTGGTACCCAACAGAGATTAAGGCTATAAAATTATCTGATTTTGCAGTTTCTGAATGAGTTTTCTGTTACTGGTTATGAAATTTAATTTTTACCATCCCAAGTTGAGTTATTTTTTTCCACTCTGTTTTGTTTATTAGTTGCAAAGTATATGATTCCAGTTTAGAATTCTTGTCCTTTATAAATTTTAGTGGGTTAGTTCATCTAATGTGCTACTTGGTTTTCATTGTATCTGCAAATTGATTAAATATGCAAATCACAGTGTACCATTGTAAAAAATAATGGTACAATTGCACTATTCATGTCATTTATCTGAGAGCAAGAAGATATGTAGTTGGATGACAATGGTCAAGGAACATCACTTTGATGATGTCCATGTCTGTGTTTCTATTTATTTCCCTTTGTTTTAATGACTTCTTGCGAGTTTCATGCCTTTAGCATGCTGAACTTTTGACGCTTGGTTTTCATTTAAAATGTTGATTGGACAAAAGATTTACAAGATCTTTCTCAATTGTCATATGAGTTTTTTTGCATTAGTTTTTGTCTGTTGTAAATTTGAAAATTAGATATAGAGAAAATGCTGCTTGAAATTGCCCTTGACACATTCTTTTAGCATTCCTTTTGTTGATGCTTCTACTCAAACTTAATTTCAACCAACACAATGATGAATGTCTATTGCTACTCTCAAGATTATTAATGCAATAACTGGTGCAAATGACTCCCTTATAGCTGTTTCTTGATTCATCAGAATTCCGAGAATTCAACTATATACTCAAGGTTACATCAGTTATTTGTTTTCCTTTTATAATTTTGGTTCAGATTATTTTTTGTTTATTTTTTCTTTTGTGGAAGATGATTTAATTGAATGCTATGGGAAATAGTTGTTTTTTTTTTTTCTATCATCTGATGGTACAATTGCTTAATGGTAGATTAAGAAGGGAATGCTTTCAGCAGAGAGTACAGTTAAGGAGTATATTTTTGGATCAAAGAATGAATCTCAAGAAAATCAAATGGGGAAATTCAACAGCAACAAGAAGCATCCATAAATTTAAGTTCATCTTGTGTAAGGACATCACACTGGATCAAGGATCTCCTTTAGCCGTTTGAACGTGTATATGTCTGTAATCTAATATATAGATTGGTTCAATTAAATGATTAGAGACGGTATAAACAGTGACCAACTGACCATGTCACCAAGAACATTGTCATTAGGCTTTTTGACCCTACTAGTTTCATTTTCATAAAGTTTTACCGAATAATTTCTTGGTCAAACTTATTACCTACATAATTGTCACTGATTGATCAGTACACTGAGACGCGGTAGAGTCAGATCCGCGTCCGACACGATACCAAAAATGTGATCTGACACAATTTAAAACGAAAGTAAGTTGGTGTTGCCTACCCTGTCATAACGGTTAATTAGCAAAAAGAAAAAGAAATGTTACACAATGCCTAAATGATTATAAAGAATCATCAACAAATCCGAATCGGAAGGCAGTTTATTTATATTTTTTAAAAATTATTTTTTGATTAAAATTATAAATAAATATTTTAAGATAATTTGATAATTGTTTTATAAACAAAAAAAAAAATTCAATATTTTTAAAATATATAAAAAAATTAAAAATAAATGAAATTATAGCATAATAACATTTTAAAAAAAAGTTATTTATCACAGCTTCTAAGACATTTGATCTTACGCGTAACAATTTATTAGTACCATAGTATAACTCCAAGTGGCTGAAAAATAAGAATTGCATTGCTTGTTTAACAATATTTATTTATGTGAATTTATATGGATTATTTTCGGCAACTTTCACTGGAGAATGATATTTGTGATTGCAACTAGTTTTTTTGTTGTTGTTGTCACTGCTTAAAAGGCATATTATATTTTTCGTTTTAAATTGTGTCAGATCACATTTTTGGTACCGCGTCGGACGCGGCTCTGACTCTACCGCGTCTCGGTGTACTGATCAATCAGTGACAAATACAAAGGATGCGATTTATTAGGTCTCACGTCCTAAAATGATTCCTAGAACACTGTGTTGTTATGCATTACATAGGTAATAAGTTTGACCAAAAAATTATTCCGGCAAAATAAACTAGTCGAGTCAAAAATCCTTGTCATTATGTTTGAGTAATGATACTAGCAAACATACACAGGAAATTCACATGTGGGGCCAACTTAATAGGTTGAATTTTTCCTGTCTTTCTTTACTGTGAAATGCAGTACAAATTACGTGAGATAGTACAAAATGACGTTGTTTTGGGTTGAAAGAAAAAATTATAATGAGAGATTATTATAACACTCAAATAAATTATAATTATAAAAATATTTTGATTTCTGTTTCAAAATGACGTCGTTTTGGGTTCAATGTAGATGACTTATCTACATTGACTGTAGACAAAATAAATCCATATATATATATATATATATATATATATATATATATATATATATATATGGGGCAGGATCTTTTGACACCGATGTTCAACTTTGAAATTCGACATCATATTCTAACCGTTGATTTACGCCAATCAACGGTTATAATTTTCGCTAAGCAACGGTTATAATTTTCACCAATCAAACTCATTAATTAATTATTATTCCCAATAAATGATAACTATTGATTAGCGGAAATCAACGGTTAGGATTTGATGTCAAATTTAAAAATTTGACACCAGTGTCAAATGATCCTACCATATATAACAGGGTTAAATTTACAAATTTTATGTTTACAAACTCTTACAAAATACACTATATATTTCGGAAAGTACACTGACTTAAAAATGTACGGTGCGAAATACATAGTGTAGTTTGTAAGAATTTGAAAATGAAAAATTTGTAAATATAATCTTTCTCATATATATATATATATATAGGGAAATGAGCCGTTTATAAAAAATTTTTACAAATTACATTAAGTATGACCGGTCATACAGTCTTTATTGAAGAATGACTGTTCATTCTTAGTGTAGTTTGTAAGAGTTTGTAAACAAAAAGTTTGTAAATATAACATTTCATATATATATATAGGGTCAAGATCATTTTACACTAGTGTAAGTTACACTTTCAATCTTATCCGTTGATCCCATTTATATCTAAACGCTCTAATTTTTTAGTAATGTGAGCCATTAGATACAAGTGGATCAATGGTAAAGATTGAGTGTAAAACTTCTAACTCTTACACCGGTGTAAGAATATCCTGCCTTATCTGAGAGCCATTAGATCAAAAAAGATCAACGACTCTGATTTGTAAGCATGTGACAACATTGATCTTTTTTTATCTAATGGTTCACCAGTGTCAAATTTGAAATTTGACATCTCGTCTGAGAGCCGTTAGATAAAAAAAAAAATCAACGACTCTGATTTGTAAGCATGTGATACAATTGATCTTTTTTGATTTAACGGCTATCAGATGAGGTGTCAAATTTCAAATTTGACGCTGGTCTCAAAGGATCCTACCTCATATATATATGAGGTAGGATCCTTTGAGACCAGCGTCAAATTTGAAATTTGACACCTCATCTGAGAGCCATCAGATCAAAAAAGATCAACGACTTTGCTTTGTAAGCATGTGACACCATTGATCTTTTTTAATCTAACGGCTCTCAGATGAGATGTCAAACTTTAAATTTGACATTGGTGTCAAAGGATCCTATATATATATATATATATTGAAACTTATCAACACAAACTTCCTAATGTCTCTGTAAGAACCCGAACCGTTAAATTAGGAATTTAAATAATTTAATTATGAAATTAAGAAATAATTACATAATTGACCTTGGATGAATATAGAAATATTAGAATAATTATTAAGAAGGACAAATAATGCCTAAATCTTTGTTCTGATGAAAAGTAGAGATATCGGTTCTGCTTCACGATATAAATGTGTATCGGCAAAGTATTCCGAAAAATTATAATAAAAATATAAATATCTCTAGAAAAATATCTAGATCTAAGATATCAAGTTTGGTGTAATAATAATGAGAGGTGATGTCCAAACTAATACCGGCTATGTATAAAACGCTTACCGGTAAAATATTGCGAAAAATTATAAGAAAAATATGATAATTTCTAGAAAAATGGCTAGTTTCAGAATATGAAATTTGGTAAAAAAACGATTAGCGTAGCTATTAGAACTAATATTGTTGATTAATGAGCACTCCAATATAAATAGAGTGGCACACTGACCTAGGTCAAAATTTTACACATCCCACGTAGCTTTTGGCTGCTGCCACCTTCTTCCTCCTTGAGAGCTTGAGCCTTGTGCATGGAACTTGAGCAAAAATCCACCTTTCTTCCTATTTCTCCACTTCCATACCATTGAATCTACATTGAACTTTGTGAAACTTGAGTCTTGTGAGGTAAAGACTTGATCTTGAGGGTTTTAGTTTCTGCGTTAAGTGAGTAAGGGCTGACTTTTGATGGTCATAGGGTGTGAAACTTGGAGACCTTCTTGAAAGCTTCAAAGAATCAACCTTTGTGAGGAAAGACCCTACTTGGGTGGGGGGATTTTCGTGCACCACCAAGTCAGTGGCTTGGAGCACCTCCTTGGTCCTCAAAGCTTCCCCATTTTTTGAGTTCAAAGGTCCATAGGTAACCTCAAGTCATCTCCTTCGTAAATTCTTGAAAATGAGCTATTTTGTGAAGTAAAATGTGAAAATGTTATTATGCATGTAAAATATGTTAGATGATGTTTTAAGCATGTTTGTTGGACTTCTGTTTTGATAAAAATCAGACCTTGGACCATGGGGAAACCATTGAAGTCGCGGATTATGCAGAAAATTCTGCAAATTTCGTGTTTTGTCCGCGTGGTAATCGATTACCCTGTGCATGGTAATTGGTTACCGTGTGGAGTAATCGGTTACCCTGTTTTTGGTATTCGGTTACCATGTTGGGTAATCGATTACCCTGTTTTTAGTAATCGGTTACCGTGTAGTGTAATCGATTACCCCCTGTCAAAAAGACCATAAACCAGTTTTAATGTGCGGAAAAGTTACCCTTTGGGCATGGTACCCTAGGAAGTCAGTGCTACTGTTGGGGAAAATATTAATACCAATAATAGTAAGGGTAATACGCGATAATTATGATTTAAAGAGTATGTAAACGAAAGAGAAAACATTGATTAATGGATATGAAAGTTTGGGATTTCTAAATATTAAATTATGTGTGCCTACAAAACAGATTGCAATTGTCGAATTGTGTGACGGTTGAGGTGCGTGTGTATACCGAGCCTTTGGATAGAGATTTTGGCACTACAGGTAAGCTTTTGGTCCTTGGATTGATCTGTTGCTTGTTTCATCGATCTCCTTGGGAGGGTGGTTTATGTGCATAGTATGATTTTATGAAAATGATATATGCATTGTTATATGCCTGTTGAAGTAATGTATGGATGTGATGTTCATTATTTACACGATCAGGCTGCGACTCTGGTGTGTAAGGCATAAGGCTGCGACCCTTATGTTTAGATAGGTCGCAGACGTGTGTAAATCCTATCTTGTTTCTTGGCCAGTTGAACCGCACTTACATACATCACATGAGATATGAACTGTGGTACATGACTTTTGGAGCATTTGGATATATTGTCATCATTATATTGCTTCAACATGATCATGCATTGTACTTAGCTTTTTGAACTTATTATATACTTGTAAGAGAGCTTGGGGCGAAAGAGTCCTTGAGGATCCCTTGTCTTACTGAGATTTCTTGTTAGAAATCTCACCCCGTGTGGGGCACATTTTCATATACAGGTGTTCCTAAGGTTGAGACCTCTGGCGGCAGGCGACCAGAGTTGAGCTGATGATATGTTGCCTGCTTGACTGTTATGTTAGGATATGATTATGCCCTGTTATTATATGGCTATTGTACTGGAGATATGATGATTATGTTTTTTTATTTGGTGAGCATGGAGGTTGTCCATGCCACATTGGTATAAGCTATGCGTATTTAGACTTGAGTTGTATTATTGTATCAGGACAAGTCTGGTCTACGTGTTATAGTTTCGTGACTTGATACATATTTATATCATGAGGTTATTTAGTGTAGTTAATTGTTGCAATTTACATACAGACGACTTTTGAAAAAGAATTAAGTAAATTCATTTGGTCGATTTGGTAATGTTCATAATTGGAAAAATTTAGCTTTCGCATTGATTTAGCTGCACTTATTATCATTATATGTTTAATACACCGGGTGCACACAGAGTGTTACATCTCCCATGTGCATGGTTTGATCATATAAGGAATTTTATGCACATGACCAATATGCCTCCTTGTATTTTAGTCTTTTCTTTTAAACTTGGGCCTTAAAGCTCAAAAAAGATTATCTGATGCTACTCTAAATACAAAGGGGTAATGTTGCACGGATCGAGACACTTGAACCCTTGAAAGCTCTCAAGGCTTTTCTGGTGCTTGCTTAAATATTCTAGTTGCCAATTTCAAAAATGTTATTCAGTAAAGATTAGGGTGGGGAGATTCTGAACATGAGAAGAATGCAAAAACTTAGGGCATGTTTGGTGCATAGTATAGGATAAGA